CTATGTCTGAGCAGGCAGGCTGTGTGTTCTTTGTTGTTTGCTCGTCTGTGGGCACAATACTTTTTGCCTCCTTCTTCAACTGGCAGGGTCAGTCACTCAGATACGGTATGGCAGGGCAGGTCTAGCTGAAGAGGAGTTACTGGGAAGGGTTGTTTGTGGCACTTAGTACAGCCAGCAGGGCAGGTTGGTAATCAGTGCAGGGCAGGTTCCAGTAGGCTCCACCTGTTTTTAATGGCCATGCCCACCAGTCTCTGCAGCTCAGGCTCTGCTGTCCCCTCCACCCCAACCTCTCTCCTCCTTGTCCCCTGGGTGCCCATCACCTGGACCACATCTTGGTGTCCTCTACCTTCCTCAAGGGCATAGGCCTGTCGTCTTGTCTTCTAACCCTGTGTGCTTTTCTTGAAACATCTCCACACCTGTAACTCCGGCTACTCCCAAGTGCTTGATTCCCAGCCCCTTATCCCTGTCTCTCCCCTGATACTCCTCAGGGACCTCACGCTCAGCCAGCAGCAACACTGCTCGCGTGTTCTTCCCTCCAGCCTGCTCTTCCTCCTGGGTGCCCCTGTGGGTTAATGGCCTAATTGCCTACTCCGTTGTCCTCAGCTCTCTGCTGCTCTACTTCTGTGTGTAGGCCACGCTGGGCCCTGCCTCCTTAACCCTACTGCTCCTTCCCTTCCCCTTTCTGCCCATGGCTTCTAGAACCCAGGGTTCTCACCAGAGTGAGCTTTTGTCACATAATCTGCATATTCTTAAATCCCCCCCCCCCAGTGGCTTTGGTAGTGGGGGCTCTTGGCTGGAGCCCAAGGCAAGTTGTGTGCATTTTTTGGGTGGGGAAAGACCTCAGCTTTGCCAGCGTGGGTGTTATCCATGACCCATGAAAGATTAAAAGCCAGTCGTCAGCAGGATAAAATGCACACAGGACCTTGGGCCATTCCCTGCTGGCCTTTCCACCCTCGCCCCCCACCACCACCCACAAGCCTGTGTGCCCAGTCAGGCCCATCTGCTCACAAAGTTCCTTCTCTCCTCTGCTCCTTTGCACCTGCTGTACTCTTTGCTCTCAACGCTTCCCCACCCTGTCCCCCAACCAGGCTTCTCTTCCCCTTTAAAGACTCAGTTCAAATGTCACCTGCTCCGTGAAGTTCTCCATGCTCCCTCCAGGCTGCAGAGCAGTTGTGGCCTCACCACCTCAGGGGCTGCATGGGATCGTGCCTGGCCCCAGCACCCAGCACAGGGCGGATATCAGGGGTGCTGATAAAGCCTAGGAGGGAATGGATTTACCGTGGTTACCTGCCATGCACATACCCAAGCAGCCACGAGGTGGCAGTATTGTCCCGGGCTTTGCCGAAAGACCTCATCTGGGACTGCACCGCATTCCATCCCACGTTGTGGGAGCTGGAGTCCCAGACCATGTCCTGCCCCCTGGTCATTTAGAGAACAGGAATGTGAGGCGCTTTGGGCTGCTTGGATTGATTATCTCGAGTATCCGACAAATATTCACTGATGAGTGCTTGGTGCCAAAGCAGAGCAGGGCGGGATCCTTAACTCACTTTACCCCATTTCACCCTCACAGCAGACCGTGGAAGTAGAGATCATCACCCCAGTTTAGAGTTTGCTGAGGTTCAGAAGAGGAAAGACCTGCCTGAGGTCACCCTGCAATGTCAAGTCCTTCCCTACCACTTCTGACCACAGATGCTATGTGTAGGGGCCACGATGTAATATCCTTTCTCTCTCCCTGCCCTGTGTCTCCTGGCCCTTTGCCGCCAGTGGCTGCAGGCTCAGGGCAACACAAGGCCACTCACCCCATTGTTTACACAGGGATGGGCCGGCCAGACCTTGCCCCTGCCCTGACCCGAGTCAGGATCGCTGTCTGTCTGTCCCAGCTCTGCCCTGTAGGACTGTCAGTGGGGGTGGCCAGGGTAACAGCACTGGGCATAGGCCGTCTGTTGGCTGCTACAGCCTCCCCTGTCATTTTCTCTTTAGGAGAAAAAACCCTGAAAGGCCTTCTGCTTCCCTTCACTCTTTAATGTTTTGAGGTTCTGCTCTAACCCCTGAATGATCATCAGTGCCTCAGCTGCTCTCCTTGCCCGTGCGGCCGTCCGTCGGGAGGGCCTGGCTGCAGCAGCTCACTGGCTGGGCACAAGGGCCTCACTGAGCCTGCGCCTGGTGAGCCTCCCAGGAAGGAGGGGCAGGGCATTGGACCCCACGGCTGCGCGGGGGTCTGCAGCCTTCCCATGGAGCCCCTGCCCTGCTGGGTGGGTTCCTGGAATGCCACAGCCTCCTAGTGCTCGTCCGCCTGCTGCGAAGGCTCCCTTCCCGGGCTGCCGTTGGTGGGGGTGTCCCTGAGGAGCTGGTATCATGTGGAAGCCGAGTTCAACTAGGGCAGCTCCACTTTCATCTGTTTTATGTGGCGAAGCCCTGAGTGAGATTTTTTTATAGAAATTCTGCTAAAGGTTTTTTAAATTATTTTAAAAATTTGACAACCACTGACTGATTTAAGCCCCTCATTCCTAAAACCCATATGACCATATGGCCGCCTTGTGTAACCTTTCAGGCCATTTCCCACCTTGCTCCTGCAGCCTCATGGCCCTCACTGCCCACTGCCCAGCCTGGTGGCCTGCAAGGCCGTCTCTTCTGGGGCTGGGCAGTCCTCATGGGTGCCCTCACCCATGCCCACTCCTCTGCCTGGAACGCCCCTGCCCACATTGGATGTTGAGATCCCACCTGGCTTCCCAGAAAAACCACCAGTGTCCCCCCTCCACCATCAGAGTACCTGCCCCTTCTCTGCATTCCCATCAGGCACAGAACCTACCTCTACTCGTTTCCGTGGCATAGGGTCAGAGTTAGGTAAGCTTGGTTCTTATGCGTAAGGGTCAGGCCCCTGCAAGGCCGGCCTCCTGGCATGGGAAGGCAGCACGAGCCGGCCAAGGGCAGAGACACCGAGCCAGACAGCTGCTGGCATTCCTGGCTGTGACGTGTGTGGAGCTTCAGGGAGAACATGGAGCAATTCAGAGAGGCTTGGGAAGCCCCTTCCCCATGTTCTCTGTGTACCCCACAGTGTCACAGACAGTGCCCAGGAAACACCAAGCCAACCAGACCACACCAGGTTGCAGAAGCAGAGGGTCCCCTAAGCCTTGTGGCTGAGGCCCAGCCTCAAGTCAGGTTTAGGATCAAGTCCCAGATCTGCCACCTTGTGACCATCTCCCCTCTAAGCAAGAGTACAAGGATTCCTGCTGGGTTGTAAGAGGTGAGACAGAAGGACGCTTACCGCATACTTGCTATTGGCACCATAGCCTTGGGCACTGCCTTGCAGGGAGTGAGGCAGGGACTGTGAGAGGTGCCGTTGTCCCCAAACTGATCAGTCTCCAGCAGCAGCAGAGGCAGGTCTACACCTGGCTTGTACAGCAAACACAACGCACAGACACACACCCTCCCACACACACTCACAGCCACTCACACACACACAGGGCAGCTCCACCAATCCCCGGACTTGCCTGTCATTCCTGTGTTTGGGCACTCGCAAGGTGGTTAGCCCTTCTCTTTGTCTTGCTCTGAGGTGTGGTGGGGTTTCTCTGGGTTCCCTGTGCACTGACTGTGCCTTTCTGTCCCCCATTCTCTCCACTGCAGTACGAATACAGCTTCCGCACAGAGCAGAGTGCCGCTGCCAGACTCCCGCCAAGCCCCACCAGGTGTCAGCAGATCCCACAGTCGTGAGGAGCTTCAGGGAGAAGACAAGCCTCCTGCCCAGACTACTGAATGGGGGCCCAGCTGGGGCTGTGGTCACTTTCCTCCTTGCCCCATCCCTCCTGCCCACCCTCTCCTCTCCCTCCACGGACAGAAGCCCTCTACCACCAGCCAGCCTCCCACACGCCTTGCAGGCCTTACCTGGGAGACTCTGGACTTCTGATCGTTACATTCTTCGTCATCGGCTTGCCTGACATGACACTCCAGCCTCCCTGGGCACCTTGTTCATAATCGCAACTAATCCATGTGTGCTGTAATGACCAGCGGCTCCTAACACATCTGTGTAATGACCACTTGTCCTGCAAAACCCTCACGTACCACAGGAGTCACCCCAGGGACCCAGTGACGCCCACCTGCTCCCTCCTGACGCCACCATGGGAGACACCACTAAGCTACTTTCTGGGGTAACTTTGCACAGGACTCTCCAGCCTTGCCGAGGTCCCAGATCCAGGGCTTTCGTGGAACAAGTCACTCAGGCTGATGGGATCAAGTACCCCAGGCAGTCACGGCAACCCCAAGAAAACATGGCGGGAAGAAGCCAGTGGCCCCTGGAGTGGGCCCGAGCTCAGCAGTTGGTCTAGTGCAGACGTCCTGTGGACTCAGCAGCCCGATTCACACACTGGGTGTTCTGAGGTGGGAAGTGGCATGTACTAGCCTTCTGGGGGAGCAGGCCGAGGGCTGAGGGTAGCCTGCTTAGACATGAGTTTTGCTGCCCGGGGTGCTGTGCTCATCCGGTTCGCTCCTTTCCCCCAAAGGGCTTGAACGCCCATGTGCCAACAGCAGCTCCAACTGCCTCAGCCAAGTGCCCTGACCCCAGTGATTATAGGGACTGGCGCTACAGGGCCTCGGACGGCCACCAGAGTGCATGGCCACCTGGCCTCAGAGGGCACCCGGCCCAGCCCTTGATGGCATCTGCTAATAGGAACACATTGCTTGTTCAAATGAACAAAAGTCCATCTGACCCAGGTCACCCAGTTTGAGCTAGAACCGACATTTCTGCCAGGAGTGTCCATTGTTGCCAAGTTGGACTCAGGCATGTTTGCCATGAGAACAGTGGCTGTTGCTGCCCCCGATGGGTTTCTTTTGCATTGTCCGGCTGTCAGGGTGCTTCTTCTCTAATTCCACTGAACATTGGTATCTTCATTCTTGTGGGTTCACTGGTGATTGGCTCTTTGGACAGAGGGGTTTGATGAGTGTGTCTGGAGGCTGGAATGTGTATGGACTGTGGACAGTCAGTGAAGCTCCCCGACCAAAAGTCAGGACAGGAGAGCCACTGCCTCAGCCAGGTTCAGACCCCCCACCTTTGCGGTTCCCAAGATGGCAGGGCTGCCTGGCTGGGCACAAAAGGAACAGGATGAAGAACTGGTCAACACAGTTAGGAGGGGCAGCTATTGGCTAAGAGGTGGGGCTGGGGCAAAAAATACTCATGTACCTGCATCAGCGCCACTGTGTCCAAACTCCTCAGACCCTTTTGTGGACCCAACTCTTCCTCCTTGTGTTGTCAGTTAATCTTCATTTTGGCCAGAATGTGTTTGGTCAAGCCTTGATACCTCTGGATTTCTGTGTACTAGGGAAGTGGCTGCCTCTCCCCACCTTCCCTGAGGATGCCCCCTAGTGGGGGCTGGCCTCCCTACCCCCACCCCAAGAAGCCTGTGAGATCAAGATGGGTGTCCCTGTGGAGGATCTGTTGTGGGACTGATGCTTAACCAGGATTTCTGATGAACTGGATCTGCTAAAATAAGCTAGTTGTGTTTCTGGGGGAGTTTGGGGGCCCTGTGGAGCCCAGCGGAGTCCCTGGGTGGTACAAATGGTTAAGCACTTGGCTACTAACTGAAAGGTTGGCTGTTCAAACCCACCCAGAGGCTCTTTGGAAGAAAGGCCTGGCAATCTGCTTCCGAAAGGTCATATCCATGAAAACCCTATGGAGTACAATTCTACTCTGAAACACCTGGGGTCGCCATAAGTCGGGGTTGACTCAATGGCAATGGGTTTGGTTTTTTGGTTTGGTGGATGGAGCCCAGAGAACCTGTGTTTACTGTTGCTTTAGCCCTGGTGACACAGTGGTTAAGAGCTTGGCTGCTAACCGAAAGGTTATCATCAGTTCAAATCCACCAGCTGCTCCTTGGAAACCCTATAGGGCAAGTTCTACTCTGTCCTGTAGGGTTGCTATGAGTTAAAATTTACTCAACGGCAATGAGTTTTTTGTTTCTGTTTTTTTGTTGTTGTTGTTGTTGTTTTTGGATGGGTGGCTGGTCTAAAACCAAGTGATATTGTGACTCGAAGGCCATCAAAGAGAGGTGACATCCAGCAGGCTGGGGTTGGGGGGGAGGACTTGGGGGGAAGGACTCTGCTCACTCCATCTAGTTTATGTTGGTTTGTGCACTTTCTGTTTCAGTCCTGGTCATGAGATTGTCCGACGGGTAATGCCCCGTGGCCATTCTCTCTTCTCCCTTGAGAACGAGGGCTTTCCACAGGTCTAATGGGCCCTAGAAGGTTCAAAGACAATAACCTTGTCAGCGAGCAAGAAGGTGAGCTGAGCACTGAGTGCAGTTGCTGGAGGAGGGAGGAGGAGGGGCCCACAGCTCCCCATTCACACCCTCTCATGAGGCCCTACTTGCATCATGACCCAGCCAGGCCCTACGAGGCCGTGTTCATCCTTGACAAATCACCAGGAAAGAGGACAGACTTGTATGAACCGCTAGCTGGAAAGACATCCTCAGTAGCATTACAGAATTAGTTTAAGTATAACCGTGACTGTGAATGTTATAATAAATGGCAGCTTGAAATAATTAAGCAGTGACAGTGTTAAGGACAAGTTGGTGTCTGTGGTAGAGTTTAGGCTGCTCCTAACCCTCTACTTCTTTGCCTTCTGAGAGGTAGGTGAAGATGAGCAGTGTGTGGTGTGGCAGTAGGGGTGTGTGTTCGTGTGCGTGTGTGCCCACCCCGTCTGGAGGCTCATGCAGATCCCAGTAGAACTGACACATGGAGCCTTGGCTCATACTAGGAATTATGCGACCTTTGGTTTCTTTTTTGGGAATGTGCTTTTCTTCACAAACTTTCTTGGCCACTGTAGGCAGGGAAGGACAGGATTTTCTTGGAAATGTAAAGACAGCAGCCTCGTACTTGGATCCCCATGTCCCCAGCACACCCCACTTCTGCTGCTGGTCCCTGCCCAGCACCCCTGCCCCTCTGGAGAAGACCTGAACCAGAGCACAGCTGTCCCCATCACCTGTCCTTTCCCTCTGAAAAGTCAATAATGCATCTTCCAAGGGCCTTGAACATGGCACAAAGGTGATAAGGAGTAGGTAGTTTGCTCCTAGTTCACTTGCAAATTTGTAATAAAGCCTTCTTCCCCTACCCCAAGTCCAAGAACTAATGCCAGCTACAGCTCTCCGCTGCTGGGAGAGATGAGGACCCTGGTCTGGGTGAGAGCCTGTTCCCTGGTGGCAGAGGCCATTTTGTACTGCAGAGCAGTCGGCGCTGGTCAGCCACCCTGCTTGTCTCCTGCCCCTTTGTAATCAGAAGGACAGGCGGGAGACAAGAGCAATTGACATGCTCTAAGCACCAACTACTTGCCAGGCACCCTGCCGGGCACTTAAGCACATTATCGCCTGTCATTCAAAAAAAAAAAATTTTTAACCCCAGAAGTGGGTGTTATTTACAGAAGAAGAAGCTCAGACTTGTCCATGGCACATGGCTAGTAAGTGGCAGAGAAAGGATTTGACATTTGACCTCGAGGTTTGTCTGGCCCCAAAGCCACTGTGCCAGCTGTCCCGTCATAAGCACATGCCTCACGCTGACCTTTGTTTTCATCCCTTAATGGGCTTCCCAGCCACTGGGAAGGGACCTGCTGCCGGCCAGCGTGAAGGTGTCACCACACCCCCACACCGAGGTGCTGACCAGGTCAAGGGCTCACCTGCCCCAGTCCCCCCCACCAGGCAAGGGCTCCCTGGGTCAAGGGCTCCCCGAGGTCTGCGGGCTAACCGATGTCTGTGGACTCCCAGGTCTGTGGGCTCCCCAGGTCTGAGGGTACCCCAGGCCTGTGGGCTCCCCAGGTCTGAGGGCTCCCCAGGTCTGTGGATTCCTGGGTCTGTGGGCTCCCCAGGTCTGAGGGCTCCCCAGGTCTACAGGATCCCAGGTCTGCAGACTCCTTAGCAGCCGTTATCGCTTGCCATTTACCGGGAATGTCGGCCTGCAGCCTCCCTGAGAACCCGGTGGGCCTGAGGAGGAGTGCAAAGAACGGCTTTGACAAAGCAGCCTCGAGCTGCTGAGGTGCACAAAAGCTGAGCTTGTTTAATCCAGTTCACTGTTGACCTTAACCCCGGAGCCTGGGGCAGAAGACCGAGCACTGTGCTCTCACCTTCTAAGCCGATGGTTCCCCCACTGGGTTCCGTCATCTGTTCAAGGCACAGGCACGGGACGGCTGTGGCTGTCACCACAATGAGAAGGGGCTTCTGTTTGCCCAGCACAGGGTGTGCGAGCCGCTGTGCCGCAGACCCGGCCTCGGACAAGGAGCCAGCTGTGCGTTCACCCGAGCAGCGCCATCCTTGCTGTGCGTATTTATCTGAGGTGACTCTTGTACTTGGCAAAGGGGAGTTTCACTGTGTGATTGTCTGTGTTCTTAATATAATTTGTTAAATAAATGTTTGTTTTAACCTCTTTCCCCGTTTCCTGCTGTCTCTGAAACCACCAGAGGTCAGTGTCCCTCGGGGGATGTTCCTAGGCTCTGGCCTCGCACCCCTGAGAGGGGCTAGCTGCAACATTTGGGGAGCAGGTGGCCACCACCCAGCCTTTCACCTTCCAGAAAGAGCTGGTGGGCTTCTCTGCCCGTTTAGTTTAGATGACTGGTTATCAGCCAGAAGGATCCAGGAGGGGTGAAGAACACACTATTATTCTCTAGAAACAGCCCTCGAGGAATGCTCCTTGAAGGAGAAAATCCCAATTGCCATGAAAGCATGTGAAGTGCTAGC